TTCTGGACGTAGTTGGGGGCTGTGCTGAGCAGGATGGAGACACTGAGGCTCAGCAGGAGTCTGTCGTTTCACAGAGTCTGGGTGGCCACTTGGCCTCCTCCTTCCTGCCCGCTGACTGGGGAGCCCCCAAGGAAAGGAGAGCTGGTGGGAGGCAGACGCCTTTCCCACCTGCTGCTCTTGGTGGAAGGGGAGCTGCTGCAGTGTGGCAGGCGCCCCTGCACGCCCTGCGCTTCCTGAAGGCCACCAGCAGGCCACGACTCCCAGCTCGGCAGCCTTGCCAGTGCTCGGGCTCTCCGTGTGTGTCTCATGCGTCCTACCGCCTTGAGCCGTCTCCGGCGCTCCTTTAAGGTGATTGGTTACAACCAGGACCCACTTCTTTGGGCACTTCCATTCTCATCAGCTCGGGGGGCCAAATGTAAGTGCCGTCTCCCTGAGGTTCTTCCAGCTCTGTGCTGTGGCGCCTCGACAGGCCAGGTGCTCTAGGCCTGCAGTTGGGCTGATGACATCTGTAAGGCACCAGGGTAGCAGGGCATCTCAGACAGCACCCTTCTGCAAGGTGGAGCAAGCAGCTGCCAGGTGGTTTGGTTAGAGGAACACCGGGAGCCCCAGTCCCCTCCCTGTAAGGGACACATACATGTGTGCCTCTGTCCCCTCCCAGCGCCTGGGTGCACACTGAAACCCAAGGCTTCTCTTTTAAAGTGCACAGGAGGGGTGGGTTCTCCCAGGGAGGCTACTACACGAAGCCACCAGGGCCTTCACATGAATATTTAACAGGTCATCTTCCTCCTGGAGGGGCCTGCGAGGCAGCTTGATGTTGGAGAGCGGTGTGCAGACCTTTTGGTCTCAGGACCCCTTTTCGCTCTGAGAAATTCAAGGCCAGCAGGGCTTTGCTGTTTGTGGGCTGTATCAACATTTATCATATTACAAATTAAACTAAGAAATTTGAAGAGCATTAATTCTTTAATAACAACATTAGTAAATGCAATTATATGTAAACAGTAATGTTTTTAATGAAAAATAACTTTTCAAAAAACTTGGTGAGAAGATTAGCATTATTTGACATGTTTTGCAAATCTTGATTTCTGGCTTAATAGAAGGTAAGTTGGATTCTCATGCTTTTGCATTCAGTCTGTCATAATGTGTTGTTTTGGTGGGAAACCAATTTTTCCACAGATGTGTAGTTGGAAAAGGGAAGAGTATTTTTAATAGCCCTTTCAAATAATTGTAGATATTATTCTTTGGTACTGCCCTAAAACTTGACAAATGACACTGTCTTGAAGTTTATTATGATATGGAATCTGACACTATGTCAGTGAACTGTTTCAACTTTGTTTCACTAAAATACATCTCTTGCACTTGAATGGCTTTGGTAGTTCTGTGTTAGCTGAGTTATACAGGTTGTCCAGCTGTTGACAATATTCCGTTATACAACTGTGTATTCCGTTGTACAATATCAAAGAAGTATATTCATTACTATTCCCACTGATCTCATTGGGAAAGTCTTTTTAACCATTTGGGAAACTGTGATGCTTTTGGTGGCAGATAGAGGTTTTTCCAAGATTCTAATTTTTGTTTGAAAGCCTGGAATTTTCAAGAAAATATCTGCTGTATACCCAGGTGTGAATAAATGTAGTTTTGAAGTCGGTTGTTCTTTCAGGTAAATGGTTCTGTGAGAAGGTGTCTGGCTCAGCTCAGCCCCAGACAGCTGCACACATGCCTGTCTCAGGACAGCGGAAACGCTTGACATGAACTTGCCGTTTCATCAGAGTGCAGAGATGCGTTGTCAAGGGTTGGAATTTAGTAAAGTTAGTAGCTTTTATTACTTTCTTGGGGATATTCTTAAGTGAGACCGGCCTTTAAAAAAAATACCTGATAGTGTGTGGCGGTGCCTAATTCAAAGACACCAGCACCGTTGGCACCGTTGGCACCGTTGCTTCTGTGCCGCTGACGAGGCAGGTGACGTATAATGTCTTGATCTTATCATGACGATGATTTTGAGTTTATGGATCACCTGATGGATGGGGGGGACCTCTCAGAGTCTGTGAAGAATGTTTTGACAACCCTTGGTGTGGGAGTCTGACTAGAAGCAGAGCCAGTAGCGCGCTCTGGCTCCATCCTTTAGTACCTAGCTGGCTGTGGGCCCGCGTGAGGCCACACAGCCTTTCTAAGCCCTTGTCTTCTCATCTAGAAAATGAAGACATGGCCATCTTGATGATTGTTGTGAGGACTGAATGGGAGAACTAATGAAAATGTGCCTTCTCTGGTGCCTAGTACATACCAGGCACTAATAAAAGTTACTTTCCTTTTCTTTCTTGGGAAATTGTGAAGGTATTGGGGATGGGAGCATTGGGTGAGGTGGAGAGATGAAAATGAGGGGTCACTTTGCCTTCGCCATGTCTGGAGCCCAAGCCCTTCTCTGGCCGCACCCCTGGAGGAAGTGGGAGAGCGGAAGGAACGGCGGGTCTTCCTGGGGCTGTTGATGTGGGCTTGTCTCAGGGTCTCTGGACCTGTCAGTTCTCTGTGTGACCCAGTGTAGTTTGAGCTAAAGAGCCAACTTCTTTGAAAATTAGTCATGTCTTCTGATTGCTCTTATCTTCTGAGTATTGGAGTTCTCTACAAATAATCCTGGTTCAGTCTCAGAGCCCCCCCGGTGGAAAATTAGGAGCCGTTCACAGCTGGGAAGGCAGTCTCAAAGATGAGGTCGTTTTTCTTCTGCAGCTGTGCCCTGCTGCAGACCCAAGTGTAGTGTAGGACAGAGTTCTCTTCTCTCCCATTCTAAAAAATACTAAAGCATGATTTTGTCACAGCCAGTCAAGACCCGAAATTCTCAAAACCTAATTCACTTTAATTTTTTAAAATGAACATTAATCTGACAATACTTTGAAGACCTTGACCCAACTCCAGTCCCTGTCCAAGAAAGATCACAGCGCACGTGAAGACACCGGCTCCTTATGCATCTTCCTTATTGCAATCTTGGGGGTGGAAAAAAGCACAATGAGAATTTAGCTTTCAGAATAAGAGTCTGTGGTTTTGCCCGAGTCTGGTTATATGTCCCCAAGGTGAAATGTCAAGCCCAGGTGTGCAGTGATGCTCCGGGTCTGTCCATCGGAGAGCTCCTGCTGGCTCAGTGGTACCAGAGGAAGAGCCGTCTGCAGTCCAGCTCCCACAACCACCTGCAAGGACTTCCTTTCCAGGATGGTGTCATGCCTCTACACCCACGGAAGTAAAGCTCCTGGTAGACTGGCCCTGTGTTTTAAGTAACCTTTTGTTCTCTCTGCTGATGGTCACAGTCTGGATTTTGGGTACTTAGACTGAACATTTTTATTGATAACCTTTATTGAGAACTAGACTTGGTGTCATGTATATCCAAGCCCTGAATTAAAAAAAAAGATTTTCATGTTTATTGATTTTTGTCCTGAAGAAGTCTCCCAGGTAAGGTCCCCCGTAGCTGGGAGCACTCAGATGGGTGATGGGGGCAGAGAGCTTCCTGGGCAGCTGTGCGCACCAGAGCATTGACATCAGAGCATTGTTGATTTTAATAGGCTTTCTCTGTCCCCAGGACAGAATGCACCCATGCATCCCCAGGGTGGAGGGGTGTTGTATTTCTTTTCCCCATCGTGTGTGGGTCTCTGAGATATGCGGTGATGGGCCTGGGGTGCAGGATGTGAACCTGTCTCAGATCAGAGTGACCAGGTTGGCAGAGGGGGTGCTGGGCTGCACTTGGCTCTTTGTCAAAGTTTTGCTGCTTCCTAACATTGTGACCTTGAGCAGGTCACTTGGCTTTGTTGAGTCCCAGACTCATTTATATAAGTTCAGGCTCACGACAGGCGCCCTTTACCTGCTGCAGGAGGCGGTTGATTGTGCGGCTTTAAGCACCTGGGAAGTCCTAAGTGGGGTTCAGAGGCAAGAGAACACTGATGTGTGCCCAGCAGAAAAGGGGTGATGGAAAAGGACAGGACTTGCACTGTCAGAGGACAGAGACAGTCCCTCACGGTGGCCGAGAGCGTTGGCTCTCCACCTGCATTGGTGTTCGCGCCTCCGCTGTGTGACCTTGGGCACGTTAGTTAACCTTTCTGTGCTTCAGATTTTTCATTTGAAAATAGGCATTAAAATAACTTCTACAACAATATCTGCCTCTTAAGGATTAACTGAGACATAATAGACTTGAAGTATAGAGTTTAGCTTCAGGCACAAAGGAAACCCTGAGTCCTAGGAAGTTCTCATCACAGGCAGGGCTACAGCAGGCCCTTCCTGCATGTGGAAAGTTATGTTTCAGGGAACTTAACTAGTGTGGTTCAGCCAAAGCCTTGTGGCAAATACCGTATTTTAAAGCAGCGGTCATTTCACAGGGGGCTAGGTCCTAAGGAAGCGAGTCACAGCAGGACGGCACCTCCCTCAGGGCAGCGGGTATGCTCAGGGGAGCCTTTCTGTGGGATTCCTCTAGGTTCTCAGAGGGGAGATGGGGTGTAACCGGGTGGTGCCCTCTCCATTGTCTTCTCCATTCTCTGACATTTCTACTGGCAAAATTACCTTGATGACCTTGACATGGGAAATGGGACAGAGAGAAGCTGAAACAGTGCCTTAGGTGTCTTGGTTCCTGAAGAGACCATTTGGGTGTGTTTTCCCAAAACAGGCACGAGGTGGTTCTCCCTGGTTTGCCTGTGCTGTTAGGCCTATAGCTCAGGTGTGTAGGTGCACAGTCGTGGAAGGTCCTTGGACTAGGAATCAGAAGACCTGGGTCCTAAGCCCCAGTCCCAGCTCTGCCACACCTGCTGTTTGACCTTGGGCAGGTCCTTTCCCTTTTCTGGACCTCAGGCTTGAGCGCTGCGGAGTGGAGAAGAGGCCGGTCATCTTGGGCTGTCACTTCACCGGGGGCTTCGTAAGGCTCGGATGAGAGGATCCTGGTAAACTGCTTTACGACCAAAATACAAGTATTAACGTAACAAGTGGCTGCTGGTAACCAAGCTCTGACCCTCCTAATGAAATATTTTCTTTCTCAGTGATGTTGCAGCCTTTCGATTATGACCCCAATGAGAAAAGCAAACACAAGTTTATGGTTCAGTCTATGTTTGCTCCGACTGACACTTCTGATATGGAAGCGGTAGTAAGTACTGAATGCTTCTTCTTTTTTTCAGTAATTAAAGCAATGACGAGGCGCAGAATTGTGGGTGCATGCATTTCAAAATGGGTCAGAACTGATTTTAAAGGGAATGGTGTTTTCAAGGAGGTTTGCCTTTATGGTTTTTCTAGAACTTTGATTTTTAACATTTTTATGTAACTTTGTAGGATTCTCCTCTTTTCTGACTGGTATGTCTGGTTTCCTTCAGTTCCTTGCTCTGATGGATTGTGTCTTGAATGGTCGGAGGATTCTCTCCCTTCACCTCCCCACCAGTCTCCCCCCCACCCCATTCTCCTGAAAAGGGCACTTTTCATTATGGAGACTGTTTCCTACCGTGTCTTCCCCATCCCCCCAGAACCTAAAGGGGCGTGAGAGTTGAATACTAAATATCCTTCCACGCTTTAGGCTTTTCCCCCGGAAGCATGATTCTTGGGTTTTTTTTGTAGTTTTCCCCTAGATTCCTTCATATTTTTTCTCCTGCTTACATACATGTCTAACTCCATCTCTAATTTTGGTAAAAATAAGATGACTTCATTTTCATAAATAAAGGATATATTACAGTCGGCCCTTCCTCTCTGTAGGCGCCACATCCGTGAACCTGGAGAGCTGACTGTATACACCATTTTAGGTAGAAGTCTTGAGCACCCGCGGATTTTGGTGTCCGTGGGGCTGGGACCCTGCGGCCACTCCTGCGTGGACACCGAGGGACGACTGTATTGGTTTCTCTGGAAGCCGATTATAATGGCAGTTCTCCCCCAAGCTTTTCCCACATCTGAGTAAATGAGGAGGCATCCTGGTGCTGTGAGTGTGAACCACACACACTGATGAACGTAAAACCCACGGCATCAGGGAGGGCGGACTGTCTAGTCTGCACGGTTTGGAAAAAGAAAGGCAGGATCACCTCAGCATTTTTATCACTTTCCAGTTTGCCGACCCAAGTAAGAGAGTAAAGTCATCCGAGGGGCGCCTGCAGGTTTGCGTGAGCCAGGATTCACACCGTGCTGTGTTTCCTCTCTTTCACAGTTCTGTACTCTGCTGTGTCATGCACAGCCTGCCTCATGTCCCTCTGTCACCACACAGCCATTTCTTTTCATCTTGAAAAAGCCTAACTGCTCAACCTCATGCATGTTTAACTTTGGGGCAGGAAATGAGGGTGAGCCAGATATTTTGGGGTTTCAAGAGACATTCAGTGATAACAGGCTAATAGGAATGATTGTTGAGGCATTCACTGCTTCCTCTTTTATTTCCGGGAACATGGCGTGTCACTTCATGTTACTTTGTGTGGTCAAGGAAATGTGCAACAAATGCAAAACATGGAATACCCAGGAGTGTGTTCTGTTGGCTTCTGCTGCATGGCTTACTGAAAAGAGCATGAGCTTGGGTGCCTTGGGTATGAAGCTGAGTTCTGCCTTTTACTAACATTTTGGCCTTGGGCAATTTGCATTAACTCTCTTGAGGGTTTGGTCACATGTAAAATGGGGACAAAGCCTAGTTCACTGGGTTGCTGTGGGATTAAATGTGCTGTGTGTGTAGAACACTTGGCACAGTGTCTGGCAGCTGTTGTATCCAAGTGCTGTTACAGGCCGGGCACTCTGGATGCAGTAAAGGTGAATTTCACTGCCTTCTGTGAAAATTTCTAAAACAGTTAAAAAAATGTTATGTGAAATGTACGTTGTTAAAAGCATACAAATGAGCAAAAATAAAACTGAAAGTGACCTGTAATTTCTTTACTAGACTGGCCACTGTTAATGAGAGCCTTGTGCGTGTGCTTCACTTTAAAGTATTTTTCCTTATATTTGGATGAACAGAAAGTTGAAAAAACAGTACAGTGACCACTCATCTAACCTGTACGTAGATTCACCTTTTAACATTTTGCCGCATTTGCTTCATTTCTATTACAAACCTTCTGTTTTGTTGAACCACTTGGCTGTAAGATGCAGTTCGTGACACTTCCCTCCTAAGTGCCTCAGAGCAAGGACTGTCCCTTCACAGCCACACTGCGTCATCACAGCCAAGGACGGTAACATGAACTCAGTCTTGTTCACTAGAGAAACCCATATTCAGCATTTTCCAGTTCTTCCAAGAATGGCCTTTAGTTCTGAGTCTAGTAGAGCACCCTCAACCTTTTTAGAGTCTGGGCCAGCTGACTTGGAGAATGTCCCACATTCTGGATTTGTCCAGGTATTTCCTCATGATTAAATTCAGGTTTGGTTTTTTGGGGGCAAGAATATTCTCTCAGTGGTCCTCAGTGATGTCGTATATGCATCAGATCAGCAGGCATTTAATGCCAGGTTGTCCCTCTTTTGGTGACAGTCCTTTTCGTTACTTGGTTAAGGTGGTGACTGCCAGCTCTCTCTGGTGTCAAAGCACATTTGTTCCCTGTGGCTAACGGGTAATCTACGATGCTCAGAGTAATCAGATACTTGGAGACGGTGTGAACTTCCTGCTTGCCAGCAGTCTTCCCCTCGAGGTTTTCAGCGTCCCGCACACGGGCACACGTACACTTGTGTGTGTGTCTGTACAGAGGAACAGGCTCAAAATATTGTTTGTGGTGTCTTCACTTAATACTTTTGTGAATTTTCCCCATGTAATTAATTGTCTTCAATATCACTTGAATGGCATGCTATTCCTTGACTGTATCTGCCATGATTTATTTGGGAGTCCCCTATTGTTCAACATAAAGATTATTTCCCATTTTTGGCTCTTGGTACCTGTGCTCTCTCACTGCCTCCTGCATGGTCCTGGGGTGAGGGGTGGGGGAGTTCACTCCTTTTTCTGTATTGTAATCTTCCTGCTATGCTGATCTATAATGCCCAGAACACCTGGAATTCCTGTCCTCCACTGCCAAAAGGAGTGAGGAGTACGGAGGAGTAAGCTAGGAGCGCATCATCCCAGAGCATGGATTTAGTCAGGAAGACGTTCCTACCAACAGATGGCGGGGATGGGGAGGGGATTGTCCGCCCAGACATGGCAGTCACAGAGCGTGGCTGCTAGTTCACGTGCCCCGTTGGTAGTTGGCACTGTTCTAGAACCGCCCCCAGGGAGTAGATAGTAGGTGCTTACGCACTCTAAGAAGGATGCGCCCTGCAAAGTAAGTTTTATTTTCTCAAGGAGAGCCAATATGTCCTCTGGCCATCCAGATGCAATTTAGAAGATTCCTCTTGGTTCAGTGGTGGTCTTCTCTGTCCCATGACTTCCGGCAGGCCAGCAACAGGAGGGGTCAGGCAAGACTGGGGTTTATGAAGTATAAATATTCAGGAGAGCTGGTGTATTTAATCTTGTCATGTTAAAAATATTGAAATCTCAGCAGACTTAAGTTCTTTATTTGATATACATTAGGGCTTTCTCATTAAGAGTATTTTTCTGAAATTGTCAGTTATAGGAAGAAAATTATTCTTCCAGCAGCTTTATAATATCCTGATTATTAAATTTAAATTGTTTTAGTGGAAGGAGGCAAAACCGGAAGACCTTATGGATTCAAAACTTAGATGTGTGTTTGAATTGCCAGCAGAAAATGATAAACCAGTAAGTATATTTATAGTTAACAATAATTGAATGTTGCAAGCTGATACTGATTTGCATACCATCTCCTGCAAAACCAAGATTTAAGTTGGCAAATTATTTTCCTTCTTCTGATGTATGAAGAAAAAAAATAAGCTGAAGTCGACAAATAAGTGAGCCTTTGTGAAATCTACCTTTGAAAGATTTGCAGAAAACTAATTGAAACATTTTTTTTCCCTTGAAAAGTGCAACCTGTTGGCTATTGAAATGTTATAAATTCCAAAGAGCTTCCTTGCCTTGACAAAGTTATAAGTTGCTGTTAAACAGTGGGAAAGACTGAAACAGAATAATTTGCCATTTACCACATGCTTGATGGACAGGTGCTGGTGAACTCTTAGGTTCTGTTGTTTTACAGAGTGCTGCCTGACTGCTCTTTCCCTCAGCACCACCTCTCTACTCCTTGACCCTCCATCTGCCTTGTCCTCAAAGTCTGCTTTTATTTTAAGATTTCTCAAACTCAGCACCATTAACTTCTGGGCTGGACAACTCTTTGCCGTAGGGGGTCCTGTGCCTGAAGGACGTTTGGCAGCATCCCTGACCTCTGCCCACTAGATACCAGTAGCACTACGAGTTGTGACAACCAAAAATGTCTCCAGGCATTGTCAGATGTGCCCTCCCGGGCGCAAGATCGTTCCTCATTGAGAGTCACCCCCTTTGCTGCCTGAGTGGGTGAGGTCGAGGAGTGACTTCCTCCAGCCTGTCAAGCCCACTTTTCTTTGGGTGAAACCAAGGTATGAGTCTGCTGTGGCCCTCACTTGTGACCAGAGAGCAGACTGTATCTGAAACGCTAATTTGGACCCCCGTCAACCTATCAAAAAAAACAAAACAAAAGAAAATTTAAATTATATTAAAAACACAGTTCAAACACATGAAGAATATCCAACTACCTGGCTGTTAGTGGCTGGGGTTGGGAACTAGAAATGCTCACATTCTCTTAACATTGCCCATAATGATCTCCAGGAATGCTGTTGCCTTGTGTCAGAACTCATTGGTATTTTCCTTCTGCTCAATCCTGGGCCACTATCATTACCCTGTTTCTTGTGGGCACTGTTCTTCTTCTTTTTTTCCCTCCTCTCCCTCTTCCCAGGGTACGTGCTGTCCTGGTGAGGGCAGTTGTTGGACGGTGTGCCGTCTGTGTTCTGGCCCTGGCTCTCTGCTAGGTGATTATTTCCGTTGGCTAGGGCCTTGCCTGTCAGGGCCTCACTCTTCTCACCCGGGAATCGAAGGGTAGAACTTGTAGTTTTCTGTTTGCTGCACGGAGCCCCCAGGGCAGTGATCCCCAGTTATTTTATTTTCCCCAACATGCTTCCACGCCCTGCACCCAGGTCCTGATTCGGCCCCAGCCAGTCTCCAGAGGGTTTCCCAGCACAGACTTGGCAGAGGAAACGGGGGAGTGTATCGCTGCCCCAGACTGAAATACTGTGGACACTAAGCTTGTTGCATCTTCATCCCATCTTCAGAGCTCTAAGTTCATGAAATAAATCGCCCTCAGTGTCACTTCCCCCCTCGGCTCCCACCCCCCACTCAACCAGTCCTGGGGACGTTCAGATCTTCGTGGTGACGTTAACTGTGCCTATAATCCCTGAGCTTGCACAGCTACACTGTGCGAATCTTTGCATGGCAGTGCGGTGTGCACGGCCCCTTTTCTTTTCCTTTGAATTGTTAGTCTCAGCCGAACTTTGTCATCTGTCCTTATACATAAGTTCGGGGGCCCAGTTGCTTTAGATTATTAAGATACTAGAGAAAGTGATCCATTTTTAAAACAAATGTAACATTTTACAGTGTGGATGAAACGCTACCACGTGTGGTGTTTGCTGAGAACTGCTTTGCGTAAAAAAGTCCTTTAATACGTAGTTGGTGACACTTGGGTTTTCGTTTGTCTCCAAACAGCATGATGTAGAGATAAATAAAATTATATCCACAACTGCATCAAAGACAGAAACACCAACGGCGTCTAAAGCTCTGAGCTCTTCTTTGGATGACACTGAAGTTAAGAAGGTGATGGAGGAGTGTAAGAGGCTGCAAGGTGAAGTTCAGAGGCTACGGGAGGAGAACAAGCAGTTCAAGGTAACGGCATCTCACTTCCTGATACTCTGCAGAGAACAGGGGCTTTTGTGCTGTCATCTTGGGTGGAGATGTTGATGGGCCACTGAATTTGTAGAGCTGCTTTCTATTTGTGCATTTTTTCCCTCCAGGCAGAAATTTCCATAGCTCTCCTCAGGTTCTCAAAAGAGTCCTTGAACACCCCACCTCCCACACATACCCCAGATTAACAACCGGTGTCTCTTGAGCAGAAGTTTCTCAACTATTTAAACTCTTACTCCTTGTAAAAGAAAACAAAACAAAAAATCCCTCCCACCTTGTTAGTATAAACTGAAAATCGATTCTGAGACTAAAAACAGCAACAGTTCTCTGGAATTCACATTTTCAAACCCCATCCCATCCCCACTAGATGAGAATCTTTCTGAAGAGGGTAAATACTGACCAGTACTCTGTCTGAACACAGATGTAATTTGGATTTTTGAGGCTTCTAAATAGGTCTAGGTGGTAGGGTCTCATCACACTGTTAACATTGTGATGAGACTGGAGACAGGCGGCTGTCACAGTAGATGGGTGCTCATGGGAGAAACCAGGGTCTCCAGCCTGTGGCCGTGACCAGGCAGTTGGCACCGGCATTGGAGGGTCAGGCAGCAGCAGGGGGCGGTGGAGGGAGGCCGGTGCGCTGCTCTTGGCCCCGGGGTCCTGCGAGCTGTGAAGACAACTGGCCACACTTGAAGTCGCTTTGAATCTCTGTTAGTCACAGCGTTCCTCCGGCCTCTGTGTGCAGAACGCCTCCAAGGCCCCTTCCCGTGTCAAAAGCATGTCTGTTTCTTACACGATATTAAAGAGCATTTCTGAACATCCGATCATAGGAACTTTTTGTTACAACTTAAATTTTGAGGCCAGTCTGTTCTCTTCATCTTGATCATGTCCCTAGCCGTGTAATAAGCTTTCACTGTTTAACTGCATAGCACCAGGTACATGTAATAAATTCATTTCAGTTGACTTTTCCTCCTCGTTTATTCTGACACTGTCACAGATGTAGGAGGCCTGACGGGGTTGGGGAATGGCATCCTCTTCCTTCTCTGCAGTAATCTGGATTTACCTCATGCAGTAACTTCTTTTTGCACAGAGTAAATTATGAAGCTGACACTCTGCTCTTTGGCTAAAATCTAAGATATGCCTAAAGCTTCTCCCTGAATGTATTTCTCTTCAGAAAGAGTTCTGTGCCATTTATAGTGATAAATAGGTAGAAATAGCTTCTATATAAACCTAATAAAATAAATGCTGTATTTTGCTGTGGCCATTTTTTGGGGGAAGTTAATCGAATAGCACCAGTCATTTATCACCGTGCAGCGATATTGGCCATGCCCCGTGAGCAGAGTATCTTTAAAATATTATTAGACCAATCTTGACATTAGAAGATTCTTTATCCTGCCAAACACTGATCTCTTGTTTTGTGTTGTTTCATTCTTTCATTTGGCCAGCACATTTCCCAAGACTCTACCATGTACCCAGCACTGTGGATACAAATATGGGCAGCCACTGCCCTTAATGGCTCCCTGTTGACCAGACTGGCAGGGGAGACCCAGACATGAGTACTGACAACCAGTGTGGTGCGGTCCCGCAGAGGTGGCCACGATGCTGTAGAGAGTTGGCCCGATGGACGCGCTGCCTGTTGTCTCCAGGACTCACTAGGCCCTTGGTGAATTCAGAGGAGCTGAAGGAGAAGAAATGAAAGTGCAGCTGTTGCTCGGGGCGTTAGGGATGAGTAGAGGGCAGTTATCCAGAGCAGAAGGGCCCTGATGCATGCCCTGTTCCGGGATGCAGGCTGGGCTTTGGGGGCAGGGAAGGAAGAGAAATTTTCACTTACAGCCTTACAGGTCTGTGTCGGTGGGGGAAATAGTGGCCAAGTAGCTTTATGTGCAGGAAGGAGGTCGTTGCGTCTCTGGTAGGGACTGCATGCATTAGGGAAACACTGTCTGAGATGCCTGTATCGAGTTTAGCTCCGTTTTTTTAACATTGCAGACAGCGTCTTCAACCCAGCAGTCTGCACGTGGCCCATCAGGCGTCAGCTGTGTGCAGAGCTCCCAGGCCTCCCACTTGGGAGTTTCCTGTGATTCTTTTCTCTGAAGAGCTTTTTTTCTATAACTCATGGGGAACTAAGGAGTGCCCTGCTGAGATGTGTGGTATAAAACGGTGCCCAGCAGCGTTGTGCGGGATGGATGGACGAGAAGGGAGACGAAGGGCTCTGGCAGTACCTTCTCAGTGGCCCCAAGCCAGTCTCTTCCCCTCGGTAGGCTTCAGTTTCTCCATTTGCAAAATGAGGAGGTTGGGCCATATCACGTGATGGAGCCTGGGTACGAAAGCCCGCCCTGCGAAGCGGCCTGGTTAACTTCTGCTTCTGGTGCCTTGTACCGTCTTTCAAATGTATGTTTGCTCCTGTAGGAAGAAGATGGACTTCGGATGAGGAAGACAGTGCAGAGCAACAGCCCTGTTCCTGCGTTAGCTGCGGCTGGGAAGGAGGAGGGCCTCAGCACTCGGCTGCTGGCGCTGGTGGTCCTGTTCTTCATCGTCGGCGTGATCATAGGGAAGATCGCCTTGTAGGGCAGCATGCGGGCGACGGCTCGTTGGATTGAGGATCCGCCACGTCATGGGGTCTAAATTTATCATAACCACGTGTAAACAGAATTAATGTATGATGACATCTCACAAGTCTTGCCTTTAAATTACCCCTCCCCAAGCGCGTGTGCGCGCACACACCCCAACACACAGGTAGAACATAATATAACAATCTTTTAGAAAGTTAAAATGCATAGTAAATGGGGAAAGAATGATCCTTATTAATGACAAGGGAAACCATGATTAAACGATAATGGCATGTTGTCCGTGTCATTCTAAACGTCTGTCGCCTTGGTCCCTGTTGCTAGATTACCTCTCTTAGAACACAACTCTCTTCCTTGCCTGGGGGTGCTGTCCTCGGGGCGCCGGCCCAGCGCGGAGGGGAGGGCCGCACCCCCGTCGTCGTCGTCCCCTGTGCTGCTCACTCACCCGGGCTGCTTTCCTGCGGTCTGTCCAGGACATCAGTTCTTTGGGACTGACGAACAGAGTCTGAAGCCGAAAAGAACGGCGCGTTGGGTGCGCGCGCCCAGAGAGGGAGGCGCGCGTTGGTCGACTGCCCAGTGCTCTGCAAATCCGAGTCAAGGCTTTGTTCTCCTTCAGGGACCAAGCTAGATTCCTGTCGGTTCATGTAGTGAGGTTGAATTGTTACTCAGAGATGTTTAATGCATATTTAACTTATTTAATGTATTTCATCTCATGTTTTCTCGTCACAAGACTATAATTAATGCTGTGGCCTAAAACTCGCCTGTGCTACCTGACAGTGCTGGGTGGAGCAGGCCGCGCTGCCCGAGGCTCCGGGCTCCGCACGGCCGAGGTGTGGCTTCTCTGAGTGACGGAGAGCAGCTGCCAGAAGGGGTCTTCCGTGTGAATAAGTGACAGCCACCAGGGGGCAGGGGGTTCTTAGTAGCGCCGTCAACTCTGCGTGACTCCTATAAGGAGGAGAGCCGCCCTTCTCTCCTCCTCTTCCTCTCTCTGCCCCGTAACCGCCACTCACACTTGTAGCCCACACGCCCCAGGTGTGATCCTGTGGCCCTAGCTGGGGGTCACGGCAAGCGAGTCAGGCAGCAGAGGGGTCGGAGAGAGGGAACCAGCTGGGGAGGGGTGGGGACAGGGTGTGAGAAACTTAGATAATCCGTCAATAGCGATTGAGAGTTTGACTGTGAATTAATTTGATGCCGTGAAAGACCAATCCAATTCTGTTTGACTATGTAGCATCTTAAAAAGAGAAAAATTAAAATAAAGCCCCAGAATTAAGAGTTCTTTTGTCATTTTGTCACTTTTGCAATATGGGAGGGGATTATTATTTTTATTCTTATTAGTCATTGGAAGTTTGATTTAAAAATGAGTCCTATCAATGAGAAATATGTATGTTTAATGATGTGAACATACAATTTTTTTTCTTTTTTGGTTGGCTTCAGCTGAGAGTATAAAAACAAAACTACTGAAAATCTTAAGTCGCTGGTCACCCTTGCCCTGCCGTCGCTTTGCCCTTCAGTTAAAAGAAACCTCTCCTCTTGAGTCAAGGAGCTGTGCAGAAAAGACTAGTGAAAGTTACGCCGAGTGTGGCTCCCATATGTGGGCAGCTTTAGGAGACAAATTCATCCCGAGGGAGACAGTTGTTAGCAGTCACGCTTCTCCCGAGCCTGGCCGGGGCACAGCTGCCTTAGGTCCTGGCGCTGGTGATCTGCTCAGGGACCCGGAGACTTGGTGTGAGGCGGGTGGAAGGCTCTGGCTGCACTCAGCGCATGACTGTCTGCTCTCACGAAGAGAAGTTTACATCCCAAGTACCAGGGGTGAATGCTGAGTAGACCTAGTTCTTGGCCAGACACCTGTTGCTCAAACTTCGTTGAGCCTGAAGACATAGAAGGCCACCCGGTTGTGAGTTAGCCTCCGGTGTCTGTTCCGCGTGGACCCAGGTACTTAGGAAAGGGAGTGAAAAGCCTGGCCTGGGAAGCGTGTGCTTTCTGCCGCTGGTTTTCTGGAAGTGGACTAAAGTTTACCCGAGTGTAGGAGTTGCAGCAGATTAACCTCTAAATAGCTTCCAGTACCTCAGGGCCTTGAAAGGAGAGCGATTGGGAAGGTCTGAGATAGAGCAGACAGTCCCGTTCCTCTGGAGCAGGGGTTGGCAGACTTCTTAAAGGATGTGGTGGTGTGTGCCAGTGACACTGTTCACAGAAACGGCTGAGGGGGTGGCCTGGGAGGCTGGAGTTGCTGGTGCCTGTACCAGACAAGAGTGCCCAGAAACCTTGTGTCTTCGGTCTTTGAAAGTGACTTCGTGTTTTGTGTGCGTCTGAAGGATGTTCTGCAAAATCATAGTTTTGAATCCAACATTGTCTCTTCCTTCTAACTCACATGCTGTAAAGTCTCTTTCCATTTTAGGGGTTAGGACTAGGTGAGCACATGGGCTTTCTGACTGCGTGGCAGAAGGAACCCCCAGGAAGAGGAGGAGGTGATGGTGGCAGAGATTGCACAGGTGACCCTAGTCGCCAAAATGCATGTCAGGATAAGGAAACGTGTGGAGCAGGCGCTGCTTAGGTTCAGGGACCATGTTAAGGGCCACAAGCACTCGAGATCTTGAACCTGGAGAGGCACGCACATTTCAGGTGTCCTTCCTGGAATGACAGAAGAGGAGGAAATGAGAGTAAGGCGGAGAGGTGGACGTGCAGTCCCGCCACATGGTCTGTTCCGTCCTGAGAGGGTGAGAGTTGAGTCATTGGAATAAACTGGCTTAGAACGAGCCAGGCTGTAGTGGTTGGGCTGCCGGCCGGCAGGCGGTGTGGGCAGGCACGGCCAGGCTGCCCTGGTGCCCTTGGTTGCTGGTCTGCGGCGCCCCTTGGGAGCGCTGCCCTTGTCTTAGACACTCCCGCTGCCACACCCACAAAGATGGAGGAGATGGGAGCAGTAAGAGAGTCCTGTAACTTTTTACTGATTGAATTTTTAAATTGATCATTTAGACAAAATGCCTTTTAAAGGCAGCAGGCTGTATTGTTGAGGTATGAGGACCTGGCTTGAAATTTTTTTTCTCTTCGTTTGCATGTTTTCCCCTCTCTAGTCTTCTAAACTGCTGGCACCAGCGTTAATAAGTACCGATAAAATCAAAATTGATTTTTACCAGTGGACAGTTCACACCTAGAGAGACGGCTTATACCTGCACAACACAGAAAGGAGAGAAACGAAGCGCCTCCAGTGATCCGTGAAAACCTAAACGGTTCCAAACAAATCCCAGGAGCAGAACCGCCATCGGGCGGCGTCCGTGCCGGACGCGCAGGCTGTGCTGAGTCAGACAGACCTGAGTGCGGCGATAGCTCAGTGCTCAGCAGCCTTTCAAATTAATTTGGGAACAAGCTGTATGTGTGTGTGCACACGCGTGTGTACCATGTGCAAGTAGCTTAACATTTTTCAAATGGTGCCAATATTTTTTGCACACACACGTCTTTCTGTTTGCGAACTCAGAATCCATGCCAAAACAGAATGCCATTTGTCATTTTCCATTCCTTTCCTAAAGAACTAGACCATTTACACGTTTCTGGTTATGGTTTGTGAAATTCTTGATTTAAAAGAAAGAAATGAGAGCTGCGACTGGGGCTTCGAAGTCGCTTTACACCTGAGTAACAACCTCTGAGACCCTCTCAGGCAAAGAGGCCACTGTTGCCCCTGCTGGTGGCGGCTGCCACCTGACACGTGTCACTGGGCTCGGGACCTAGTGAAGTAGCAGGGCTCACGGAGGAGGAGCACAGGGTGACACTGGGGAGTCATCAGAGTTCCCACTCTGAGGAGTCCTCCCTCAGCGGAGCTCGGGCCACATTTGCTGTTATTGAAAGTGGGCAACTTCAAAGACGAGCAGGAACGGGGTTGTGTTGAGAGCGTCCCCTACGGAGTCGAGGGGTGACTCCAGTGCACAGGTCTGATGAGGCCCGAGATCACTGCCCTTTGTAAAGGGCAGCCTGGGGCCATGGGGGCCCTCAGGGTTTCCCGGCCTGACTGGGTTTGGAGAAGGCTTTTTTTTTTTTAACCTGCCGCAGAGCTGCTTGACAGTAACCTTCCAGAGTCACGACCATGTGCAGAGCGTTCCTGATATGTTCGCTCATTGAACTTTACCCTCACGATACCTATGACCTGGGGGTAAGGGCTCTGGTTTGCTCATGAGGAAACGAAGCCTCCAAGAGGTTAAATTGGGCAACTTTCTAGACCTCTTGTTCAGAACAAAATCAGCCTCTGGAAAGCCTGCTATGAGGGCCTAAATCTCTAGGACCCTGTTTCTGCCGCCAGAACCACCCAGAGGAGCAGTGAGGGAGGAGGCGAGTCGTTCACAGTGACCGATCTCACACCTCGCGGCTTCTGTCTTCATCCCTTCCGTGGTTATTTTAAAGATGAAGTAGATGGAATCAGGACTCTCACTCAGATTCTTTTTCTTTGTTGAAACTAAACACTTCAGACAGTGAAAAAATGTGCATTTTCCATTTTCTCATTGCCTGAAGATCTCTGCCCCATGCTCCTGGGGAGTGAATTTGGGGGCTTGAGGTAGAAAAGGACCAGCCTGTCTCAACGAGGTGGTGATGGGAACGCGTCCCGTGCAGGCTTCACATAACTTGTAAATTAAATGTGAGGCGAGGGCAGTTCATTAAAACTGCTGTCACAGAAGTAGCCTGCCTGGGCTGCTGGTCTCGGACATCTCCCCGAATTAGCACCGGACTGCCCAGGAAATCTCCGAGGAGAGCGGGTGGCAGCAGACCGCGATAAGGAGGACCCGCCGAGGCAGACTTGGGCTGCTATGAACATGAGTCTCCAGCGAGAGTCACAGACCCTTTACTCCTGCGTCCGAATCCCACTCCGACAACATTAACACTAGTCGGGGTGCACAAGGCCACGCACCCCCGTGCCGAGGGGCCCGGACCTTCCCGTTAGCTTTGTCTACTTCACTGAAAAACAAGGTTTTGTATTTATCTATTTTCATGACAGAGGTCTTTAGAAAAATTTAGAAGATGTGAGCACACATAAGCAGTTGTGTGTAACAGTTAGAAGTGGAACTGGTGGTGGTGGATGAGAAGTTGTCTCAATTCATATAATGACTGCAGGTTGTTTCCTTAATGGAAATAATTCATTAGGATGTGTCTGCATCCAGTTGGTAGAAGAGGGAGAAAAAGCAACAAAAATATAGCTATTATCTAACTTGCCATGAATATTTGCAATTATGATACCTTGGAATGTTGCCACGATATGGATTGCTTTGATTAAAAGACGTCAGCTGAATAAAACAGCACCGTGGGGTAGCAGCTTTCTGCTGCTCGATAAATGCTAATGTTTATTTTTAGACCAGGAAACACTGATCCTGTGACAGTGCCCTATCACCATGACTTTATTATACCGCAGGGTTGATGTATATTTAATCATTTGGCTAATGGATGTGGGTGCAGGTCTGATGCTCGCTGCCTGTCCCACTCACCGCAGCATCCTGAGACAGCCAGGGCTTCCACAGGTGGAGCTGCGGCCCAGAGGGTTTTGTCTCCCTGATACCGCAAGCCGAGCCTGGCCGGAACAGAACAGGTTACCTTCTGTTTGTTTGTTTCCCTTCACAACTGCCAAGTAGGGGAGACAAATCAGATATCTTAACCCAATTTCATTAAGGTTTAGTGCTAACGTGAACACATAGCTTTTTGTGATTTAAGAAGATGATAAGTTAATGGGTGTGCTTCTCACATCAGCTCAACAGTTCTCCCCGTAATACGATAAGATCTGCTTCCTTTCATGAACCGGCCGTCTGCATTCCCATCTTTCTTTTGCATTTTAGAAATGAACTAAATTCAGTTGTTACTCTCTAATGCTGCATCCATTAAAAAAAATTTTTTTCCATTGACAATTTTTCTTGGCTTCCAAGGTCCGAGTTTATTGTGTGTGATACTGAGACCACCTGTACAAGAACGACTTCTTGGTTTTCACCACTCCTGCAATTAGCAAACTTTCATCAGCCTACCTTCTGCGTATTAGATGCTGGATGAGATGCTGAGAAATGAATCAGTGGGCGTGATTGTGTTTTTGTGTTTTTCGTAAGCAGCCTCAGTAAGGGGGTTCAAGTTTCTACCTAGAGAGAAAGATGCAAGATACAGTTGCTTCTCAGTTCTGTTGCTGGCATTTCCTTTTTTTTTTTTAAGACAATTTATAAACTGTCATTTGGAACTTCGTATAAGAAACTCAAAGTGACCTGTTTTTGTCTAAGTGTTCCCTTCACCTCCTCTCTCCTCTTTGAGAAGTGGCTTCAG